CCCCACCCCCATCAATGGATTTTTTTCTTCCCTGATGGCACATTGGGCATATTTCAAGATGACAATGCCAGGATTCATCGGACTCAGATTGTGAAAGAGTGGTTCAGGGAGCATGAGACATCATTGTCACACATGAAGTGGTCACCAGAGTCCACACCTGAACCCCATTGAGAATCTTTGGGATGTGCTGGAGAAGACTTTACGCAGAGGTCCGACTCTCCCATCATCACTACAAGATCTTGGTGACAAATGAATACATCTGAATGGAAATAAATGCTGTGACATTGTATAAGCTTATGAAAATGATACCATGGTGAATGCGTGCCATAATCAGAGCTGAAGGCGTTCCAACAAATATAAGAGCGTGTGACTTTTTTTGGCCAGGCAGTGTATATGGGCAGCAAACTTTCAACTTGGTGGCACTGTAGAAGTCAACATTTGGTTAGATTTGTTGTATTTTCACTGCTAGTATTGCTGTGACGTACTCATTGCCATAACCATGAAGAATTTATCACCGTGTTTGCATACATTATGACCAAGCTTTAGGGTTAGTGTTAGGTCAGGTTCACACCATTTTATTGACCAGATATGGAATGCAGTGCATTGCATTTTGAGCAGTTTTTTTTTTTAGCTTAAAATGGGCCTTCAGGTGCGTTCTGGTGCATTTGTATGCGTTCCAGACCAGACACAATGAGAGATACAGTATTTTTCTGGTCTGGAACGGACTGCGCTGGTGTGAACAGAGGCCAGAAATAGCATAGGGATGCATTTTCTGGAAACAATCTGGTCCGGTCTGGAGATGATCTGGATGTGGTGCAAATGGGCCCTTGGAGGCTACCTTGCCTATAAAGTATATGCCACCCCTAGTAAACCTTTGAACATTCAGGAGTGTTCCCAAGCACTAATATTCCTAGGGATTCGGTACCCTAGACAATTGCTCCACAAATAGACCACTGTACAATCATTAGCCTGGTGCAGACAGACCGACACGTCTAAATGAATTGGATTAGCACTTCGAAAGAGCTAATGTGCCATGCGGTTAATTGTTGTAGGGCTAACAAATCACTCATTGGGGCGGTTTATAAAAAGAAGCAGCGACACATGAGCAGCAATTCTCCAGTTAAGTGACAACAGGTGTCCGCCATAAATAAGTCAACCGCTATGAGGGTGCGAACAGCTGAAATAACTTTCACTTTAAGGCAGTGGTTGATTTAAAAAAACTGTTATTTTGGGAATGTCGCCCCATACCACCAGTCTGCTGGTTAATTGTGTCATTCCGGTTTGGCTATGCAGGAGCTTATATTGCTCCCCTATGAATCTGGCTGAGATCATTGCCGCCGGGGTGGGGGGGGGTACACCAGCCGCCAGTTTTTACTACAGCATGTGGGGTTGGGCCTGCAATGTTCATTGCAGGCCCAATGCAGCGGCACGCTAAAATTCACTGCTTTAGGCCCCATTCACACTGAGCGATATGGGTATTGCGCGTTTTTCCACGCAATTTCGTGCTGAACGGCTTTAATATACATTGCGCGATATTGAGCAACAATGCACATTTTATCACGCTACATAGCGCTTTTTTTGGGCGGGACTTCGTCGCTCCTACATTGGGCTGTAACCAATCAACAGTGATCTTGATGCGACATCATTCTTTCCTTCCATTTTGCAGTGCAAAAGTGACCCTTCTGTAGCGCGAAGTCGCGCAATATCGCCAGTAATGCGTGATTTTGCACGACAGCATAGTCTATTGGAGCCGAATCGCGCGACATCCGCGCAAAAAAAAAAAAAGGATGTACGAGTGACGAGCTACAGGCCACATTGAGCTGTGAGATGTGAACAGCGTCATTGAAATGCATTGGACAAGCCACATAGAGCGATATATGCGCGATTTTACGGCAGAAATCTCGCAATAAAATGGGGTGTGAATGGGGTGTTAAGGGTCCATTCACACCACATCCAGATAACCTCCAGACCAGACTGTTTCCGGACCCAAAATGCATCCCTATACAATTTCTGGTTCCCACAAGCGCAGTCCGTTCCAGACCAGACCAGACAAATACGGTTTGTCCTATTTTGTCCGGTCTCGACTGCATGGAACGCACCTGTAAAACCATTTTAAGCTTAAAAAAAAAATAAAAAAAAAAAAATCCAAATCACTGCAAAAACATGGCAAAAACGCAATTCAGTGATTTGTTCCAGATCTG